AATTTTTTTTATTTAAGAATTAATTGGGTGGTGATATAACATAACTAATATTTTTTTTAGGTTAAATACCTAAATTAGTCTCTCAACTTTTCTTTTTGAACCAATTCTTCCTTAAACTTCAAAAAGTATCGAAAACATCCTTCAACTTCAATTTTCAACACCAATTTCGTCTTTCCATCAGTTAAGTGCTGATATAACTAATTTTTCTACTAAGTAATTGACTATTTTACATTTTCAATATTAAGTAGAAAATCCATCATGTAAAGGATGATTATGTGGATTTTTTTAATTTTAAATAATTAAACACTATTTTAATTCTTAATTTTACTTTATTTATATTTAAAAATTAAAACAATTAATATATTTTCCCATTTAATTAGTCCCACCTACCATAAATAACTCTTAATTTATAAAGAAATAAATTAACTCTTATTTAATTTTATTAAATCAAATCTCACTTACTATAATTATTTCTTAATTCATGAAGAATCAATTAACTTTTATTTAATTTTATTAAATGAAATTTAATCATGGAAGAATCAATTAGGAAATAATTACAGTTTATTTTAATAATTTAAACAAAAAAGAAGGTCGAGGAAGAAGAACCAACAAATTATTTTAATTTTATTTTAATTCCATTTAATAAAATTAAATAAAAATTAATTAGTTCTTCCATGAATTAGGAAATAATTCTAGTAGGTGAGATTTGATTTAATAGAATTAAATGAGAGTTAATTTATTTCTTTATAAATTAAAAGTTACTTTGGTAGGTGGGACTAATTAAAAGAGAAAATATATAATTGTTTTAATATTTAAATATAAATAAAGTAAAATTAAGAATTAAAGTAGCTTTTAAATTATTTAAAATTAAAAAAAATCCACATAATCATCTTTTACATGATGGATTTTCCACCTAATATTAAAAATGTAAAATAGTCAATCACTTAGTAGAAAAATTAGCTACATTAGTACTTAACTAATGAAAAGATGAAATCAGTGCTAAAAATTGAAGTTGAAGGGCATTTTCGGTATTTTTTGAAGTTCAAGGATGAATTGGTTCAAAAATAAAAGTTAAGGGGTCAATTCAAGTATTTAACCTAAAAAAATATGTTAGCCAATTAGTTTTACCACCCAATTAGTTCTTAGATGGAAAAAGTTGAAAGTTAACGACCTTAAATAAAAAAAGTTAAAAGTTGATATCTTTATTTAAAATAAATTGAAAGTTGACATCCTTAAATAGAAAAAAATATAAAGTTGATATCCTCATCCTTTACTCTAAGTGTATAGTGGCAGGAACGGATCCACCCCAAACAAAAAACAAGGAAAATTCCATCCACAAAGTTTTTGATTTTGATAAATCACCTCAAATTTAACATGTGATATCATCTAACATTAGCAATTTGTTAATTTGACGTTATCTGATGTCAGCAATCTATTAACAAATTAACAAATTAACAAATTACTGATGTTAGATGATGTCACACATTAAATTTGAGGTTATTTATCCAAGTTGAAAATTTTGTGAGTGGATTTGTCCTCATTTTTTATTCGGGGTGGATCCATCCCTGCCACTATACTTTAGGGGTGGATTTGGATATTTTGCCTTTTGACTTTTCAATATTATTTTTTCTTTGTATTAACTCCAAATAATCTAAAATTAAATTAAATTTTAATTAATTTAGTTTATAAAATCAATTAAATTTAAAATTTTTTTCAATATTTATTTTTCTATTTATAAAATTTAAACTTAAAATTTTATTTATTTATTTGGTAAAATATGAATTTATTATGTGGTTTATTTCAGTTTAGTCTAGAAATAATTTTTTCTTTCAAAATGATTTATAAACTATCAATTTTGTTTCAAAATAGTTTACTTGATAAACATTCTGTTAACTAGATTAACAAAAATCTTTCCAGCTGTAATGTGTGCCCCCTAAACTTTTGAAAAATGTTAAATATGGTACATTATTTTTGTTTTTTTGTAACATTTTGTTTTTAAAGTTTAAATTCTATATCCGTATAATAATTAACTAAGATGAAATTTCAATTTACATTAATTAGGATTCTAATTTTAATTTACAA